GCAAATTAGTCAAGTTTTCCCTGGAGAAATCGGGGCTGCGTATTAAATGCTAGTAGATACACGGATCTTTGAGCTGAAACCAGAATTGAGGTACTTTCACTTTTATAAAAGGAACATTGTAAACAAATCTAAACCCAAATCATAAGCAGACATGAGGTGAACAGAGAGGCAAAGTTAACTTTTTTACACTAAAAGTGTCTTTAAATAGTAGGAAATGTAGAAGGAAAAAACACTTGTTTACCTGTGTTTGTCCACCTGAAACTTCACTTCTCTGCTCCTGATCCCATGCACGCCCTGTTTCTCTCTGTCACCCTCGCTACTGATGATGACATCACATGACTCGTGTTTCCCAGCCTGCGATGGCAGCTGGGAGGTGCGTGGATAAAGAGGAAACGGCTTCAGCCACTGACCTGCAGGAAGACTTTACACTGGTCTAAACAGATGGTTTGGTCCCATATCAACATTTTGGACTAAGCTAAGCGAGCTCTGTACGTTCCTAGTTACACTACACCCTTCCCTCCTGCTCACTTCTTTGTGCACTGTGAGCCCTCTCAAAGGCCAGTGTGGTCAGACTGGTTCTTCCAGTTCCAGAAACAAAAGCCCCCGCATGTGAAAACGCTTTGAAGCCTTCAATGCAGACCTTAAATAAAACTCCCAGCTTCACTGGACAACGGCAACGCAGTGCGTCTGTTTGCTTGAGGATAATAAGACAATCAGGAGGGATTTGACTTAGGTTACAAAGCAGACAGCATAAATGGGGAAAGAAGGATGAATGTATGAAAAGAAAATAAGAGGAAGATGGGAATGAGGAAGAAGTGGAAAATGAGGGCATGCGGAGGGGGATGAGTCTGAGTGGACTGTCTGGACAAGAGTCTGAGTGTACGTCTCCCTTCCTGAGAGGCTAAGTCACTGGACGGGTTCGACACCATATCAAGTTACACATCTCAAACTAAAGATGCTGGGATCTGAGAAGGAAGAAGAGAGAAGACATTGTTCTCTGCTCTGTAACCAGGAGAGAGTGGCTCCTTTCTTCTGTCCTCACCATCCGATGTGGGCCAATGAGCTGAGGTGGGTATCCGGACCAACGGGTGGGCACACAAGAATCTCAGCTCATAAAAGCACCTTGCCAGCCAAGGATGCACTATGTTGAGACTGGCAAACTATTAAAGGCATTCCAGTGGAGTATGATGTTTTATGGTGCCCCTTGGCCTGCTGAGAGTAATCTGAAGAAAATCAGCAGAAAAATGAAAAGAGGGGCTAACCCCATCAAAGCTGGACAGCCCAGCCTAAAACCTGAGCAGGTGCTCCAGTACCCCTGTCATTACTGTATGTGTGGGCCCCCAGAGGGCCTCAGATTTCAAAGGCAGTCACTCCCAGCTGGCTGATAGAGAAGTTCAACCAAAAAGAAGAAAAAGAAAAGAAAGAAAAACAAAGTAAGAGACGGAGGATCCTAAAAAATGAAGGCAGTGCATCCATGTGATTGGCAGCAAGCATTGCAGAAGGAGAGGAGACAAAGAAGAGAAGATAGGAACGTGTCAGAGCCTGCTTACAGTTACTGTACCTGTATGACCAATCAACTAAACAACAAAGTCATTGTCAGCTAGACTCATTTCCTCTGGCTTATCTCTTCTGGACAATGTCATCACTGGAAAGTGCTATGGGAGGTATGCTGGCTGTCTGGTTCTTGAGAAATACCATTATCCTGTTTTAGACCGGAGCTTACTGTGTCTGCCACACAGGAGTTAGCTCTTGTAAACAAATTTTGCAACTCTGTCTGTAAGGATCGGGAGACGTTAATGCGATTAGATAACGCAACTTTAAAAACTGAAGAGTCACAAGT